CGCGCACATCACTCTAACAAACACAAAAAATAAAATACGCGCATACACACAAGTACGAAACGACACCACACAAATAACGCGACAATGCTCCTAGCCCCTCGGTATCCTACCCATAACTTTCCGACGCGGAAATCGGGTAAGCGTCGCGAGCGAGACTTAGTATAAAACCGCACGGATGCAGGGCCTACTCATATCGACTTGCAATGCAGGCGTACGCAAGCAGTCGCAATGATGGCGTACTATGTAGTGCCCATAATTAAGCGGTCCCTCGTGGATCCGAGTACCGCTTATGACACTCAAGTGTCAGACTCGAAGTGTCGTGAGGGCCTTCACGACATTGCACGGCTGAAGGAATAGCCGTGCAGCCGCCGCGGCACCTCCGGCTCTCGGTCTGAGTGTCTCGGTAGGCAAATCAAATAGGCTCTGCGCGAGGGAAAACCCCTCCCCTGCAGAGCGTAGGGTTTGGGGTGTTCTGGACAAGGACCTCGAATCCCGGCCCAGGACCAAACGTCCGACTAAGAAAAATCATCAAAAAGCAAGAACAAAATTAGAAGGAGAGGTCTCCCCTAAGCCCCTCAGTCTCAGCTTCTTAGCAGGACTTTAGTATGGGGGCTCTTCAACCCATACAAACATTCATCCCAAGTATACCCATATATACATATATAAGGGTTAAGTATGTGACGATCACTTCTCACGGTCTCACTGGGGTCTCTCACAATAATACATATATATGTAACCGTAGGCAACCAAATCCATAATCTGATTCACAGTACATACCCACAACCACATCAACAAACCAAATCAACAGCCCACACACTACACGGAGTCAACCCCAACCACCTTCGATACTCATACCCCTCGCTTTAGCCATGCAAGCCCAAACCTTCTGTCCAACCAACCTTAATTAAAATACTCAGTACCTTTGTTAAATGACCATTCAATAAAAGTCCGGGTGAAACCTTAATGAAACAACGAAATCACTAGAGCTAAAGCCTTTTAGGTTGAGTGTGGAGGGAGAGTTGAAATTGAGTCGTAGATCGACGAATCGGCAACCGACATGTTATCAGTGATAAGAGAAAGTGATCCTCAAGGGATTAAGCTGGATCTAGCCCTGAACTTGGATCAAATGATAAAAAAAGACCTGTAACATACGGCAGACCAATCCCCAAGCTAAGATCATAAGTGTATGGTGAATACAACTCCATTATACATCCTCACTCAAAATCCCCTTATAAGTTAAACCTAAGTCTACTTTTAAGCCAGTGCTTAAGTGAAAGGTAGACCAACTGCATAATCTCCCCTATTCTGGGTGGATCGCCTGAATCAACACCCGTTAAAATATAATCAACACCCGTTAAAATATAATCAACACCCGTTAAAATATAATCTATCTCCTCTAAACTAAAAAAATTTCGGCAGACTTTCCGTAGGAAAAGTGTCTTTCCATAATTTTTATAAGCCCAGATATGAGAGCAGAAATAATCTCTAACTCCGGAAAAGACTAATTTTGTCTAACTCCCTGTTTTATGGGCGGCACTCCCTTTACAAAGGGAGACTTCCAAAATTTATACTAAGTCAGATTTGAACTCACAAGACAACTTGAGATCAACTTAGACAAGATTTTAACTAACTTAGACAAGATTTAACTAACTCCTCAGTTTTGCAGAAATTTCGGCAGCACTACCTCTATAAAAGTGTTTTCCCAAAATTTATACAAAGTGAGTTCCAAAATTTGAGAATAAATTTGACTTTTCAAAGTCCAATTTTGTCTAACTGCCTAAATTAGTAAAAATTTGGGCAGCACTCCCTTTAGAAAATGAGATTTTCAAGATTCGTACTAAGCCAGATATATGGAAAAGACAAGTTGAACTCTGAAAAAGTCAAAAGTTGACTAACTCCTTGGATTTGTAGAAATTTCGGCATCGCTTCCCGTAGGAAAAGTAGCTTGTCAAGATTTATACAAAGCCAAGTAAAAAAAAAAATCTCAGAAAATGTAGGAATTGACCTAAGTAAAAAAAGTTATTACAGAAACTGCAGGAAGTGACACTAACTCCTATGACTCTAGCACATGGCGAGCAACTAAAGCCCTGCACTCATTGCGACTTTCTCAAACATTCTAAACAAAAGTGACCCTTTTCGTCAGACCTTTATCACTCTTCAGACAACTTTCCATGCCATAAATCAGTTTACTCACTTTTGAAGGTGAGTCTTCCAACAACAAAAACATCCCCTTTTCCAAAAATCCAAGGGGTTCTCATCATAAACAAAACACCCCCTCTTCCAAAAATCACGAGGGGTCTCGCCACATAACAAAATACCCCCTCTTCCAAAAAATCACGAGGGGTCTCGCCATAAAACCAAACTTCCCCTCCTCAAAAGTCGAGGAGGTCTCATCATAACACACAATCTATGTAACCGGCTGAATGCGGTGAACGCGCGTTCACGTTCAAACGCGCTCGTTCATACCCCCCAGGCAGGGCCGCGTTCAATCGCGTTCAAACTCGCTGCACGCCACGTGGCACGAAAAAATTGAACGCGACCCCGAGTGGCACGCGCGTGCATTGCGGACTACGGGGTGGTGAGCCTCATTCATCAAACCCCAAAAGCACAAAAATAAAATAAAATCAAGAGGCCTACTCCCCCTGCCGCATCACCCCCCGCTATGTGTAAAGAGTCCTTTTTTTTTTGGGGGGGGGGGGGGGGGAGGAATCCCCCTTACATGGCTCAGACAGCCCATGCGGGCTATCTGAAGGGTCCTCGCATCGATGTGGCGCAGACCCCCCACCGCAATCACGGCAAGCAGTGAATATGGAGTGAGCACGAGCTGGCCTAATATATAGTCAAGATTCGAATTCAGGTCTGTTTTCAGCAGTTATGGGTTGCTCACGTAGGCCCTGCCGTGATTATCAGGGCTTAGCTGCACTACTCACCAGATGTACAAACTAGAATGAATCTTCTGCAGAACATGGAATAATACGCTGTCATATGTTCTGTCTTTTGAGCCTGTGGTGAGTAGAGGCCCTTAGGGCCACTGCACGTATTTTGAAGAGAAGAAAAACGGAAAAAAAAAAAAAACGAAAAAAAAAAGAGAAAAAGAAAAAACAACAAAAAAGAAAAACGAGAAATTTCTCTCGTTTTTCTTTTCTTAGGAATACGTGTAGTGGCCCTAAAGGCCTCTACTCACCACATGCACAAAAGACAGAACATATGGCGGCGTATTATTCCATGTTCTGCAGAAGATTCATTTTAGTTTTGCACATGTGGTGAGTAGTGCAGCCAAGCCCTAAGAATCACGGCAGGGCCTACGTGAGCAACCCATAACTGCTGAAACACAAACCTAAATTCGAATCTTTACTATATATTAGGCCAGCTCGTGCTCACTCCATATTCACTGCTTGCCGTGATTGCAGTGGGGGGGTCTGCGCCACATGGCTGCGAGGACCCTTCAGATAGCGTGCATGGGCTGTTTGAGCCATGTTAGGGGGATTCCTTCCCCCCCCCCCCCCAAAAAAAAAAAAAAGACTTTTTACACACCCACGCACACACACACAGTCACGTACACACACACGCACACACATTCACACACACAGACACACACTTTCACACATACACTTTTTTTTTTTGGTTGCCTGTTTTGCCTGGGGCATTGGCCCACAGTCCTTCCCCAAGCACCGCCGCCGCTCCCCACATTGCCCACAGCCCCCCCAAGCACCGCCGCCGCTTCCCAGCGCCCCCAACAGGCCTCCCGGGCGTGGGTGGTGCTCTGCGCGTTCGCGTTAATAGCGTGCACCCGCGTTCTTTGAACGCTCGTTCAACTCGTTGAAAAACTGAACGCGGAACCCGCGTTCAACGAACGCGAGGTAACATAGCACACAATATCACAAGACATCCCCTTTTTCAAAATCCAAGGGGCTTATCATAAAACAACCATCACTGAGAGACCATCTTATGGGTCCTCATCACAATTTAAGCAATCAATAATCAACATGGTAAGCATTTTGAGCCTCCCGGGCTCATAAATCTTCAAAATCCTCACAACCTTTCACAGACGGACTGCACTTCCTCTCCTTATACTCTGCCTTATCAGCTTCTCGTGGGCAGGTCGCACAAGTATACCGAGGAGTAGACAGTTCTGCTTACAATCATATTCACAGTACCCAAGACACATAAAAGGTTTTTCACACATTGTCCACACAAACTCACATGTGAGAGAGCCAAGTGATCGTCACATATAAGAATGGTCCCTGAAGAAAACCTCATCATAATATACACTCAGCGGGATAAAATGTCTCACACAAAAAATGTCTCCAAATCATAGCTCACTCAACTCAAGCCACACCAAACCCACACTGACAACTACCCCTAAAAATACATGTCAGATCTGTCTCTCAAAGGCCAGGGCGTAGGCCACCTAAATATGTACATGCCTCATCTAGATTACCCTGATCCTCAAGATCCCAGCTCAGTAGGAACACTAGAGTTCAGATCTAGACTAGTAGCAATCATCAAAAAGGTCCTTTAAGTCTAAAAGGGTATCACACAAAACCTAAGCTTATGCCTCACAAGACACTCGCCCACTTCCATAGACAAACCGACCCTACCTCCTCAACTCCTCCTGGTTTTGCCTATATAACTGAGCCCTAAGTCCATTTGCGGACTTCTCTACTATCCTACCATGTCTATCATACATCTTACCCCCTACCTCTGAGACCTTCCCTGCTGCCTTATCCTCAAGGAACTCAAGACAGTCCAGAGCATGATGCACGTCCCTCTTGCAGTAGAAACATACCTGATCAACCTCCCTCTTGAACTTCTTCTTCTTGGGCTGAGGAGGTGGCGATGAAGGAGATCCTACCAAGGTACTGACAACCCCCTGCTGCTCTGATCGAGGAGTTGCAGTACTAACGACTTCCTGCTGCTCTGTCCCAGGAACCGGTCCCCCAGACCCAGATCCAGTAGCCCAAGATCCCAGTCTGCTACTCAAATCCTCTGTCGCTGGGACGTACTCAGGCGTGTCCAACCTCTAAGGTCTCCTCTCGAGTGTTTCTCCTGGCACTGCAATGGCCTGCTCCTCAATCTCCTCTGGCCCATACTCAGGCGTGCCCAACCTCTGGAGCCCGCCCTCGATGACACCTTCTGCCTCAATCCCCATCTCTCTCTCAAGAGGCTCCTCTATCCTCTGCTCGGGTGAAAACAAACTCACCTCCTCCTGCATAGTATGCACCGCCCCAAGGAGCACACCCACGGAATCCTCTGCTGAGCCTTGAGCCGGCTCACTGCTAGATGGTGGCCGCCCCTCCTCTACTGCCAAAGGTATGACTAGGCCCGCCGCCGCCACTGGCAGCGTCGCGAGCTTGGTAGGGGCTCTAAACTCGAATGCCTCTCTCTCCGCCTGTCTCTGGGTTCTCGCCTCCTCTGGCTCCATGATAACCCTCCCCATAGGTGGCTCCTGGCGAGGCTCTACTGCAGATGGCTGTCCTGACAATCCCTGTCCTGGCTGCCTCTGCTCGCCCTCCCTGCTGCTCTCTGGCTTGTCCACCTTTCCCTGATTTTGCTGCCTCAGGCTCTCAATGATAGCTGCCTGGCTGGCCACCAATGCCCTGAGTTCCTGGATTTCCATCTCCATAGCTTCCAGGCGTACTCCATGGCTTGCTTCCTTTATTTTCTTCCCTGCAAGATCGCTCTCCAATAACAAGTGCCGGTCAAAAGTTGTCTTGGCCAGGAACTTGATTTTGCGATCTAACCTCTCTTCCGCCTTCCTGGCCAACCCATGCCCGACTCTGACTGGCGAAGGAAGCTCCTCTCCTCTCTGCTCCTAGAAGTCCCTCCACATCTTAGGGATCTCCGGGGCCCTAGCTGGCGCGCTGGGTGGCTGACCTGGGAGTGCTCCTGCTGCCTCCGATCTCTGCCTCTCCTGCTGCTGCTCCGGAAGCTCCCCCGCTGCCTCCAACCTCTGCCTCTCTTGCCATATCTCGTCTATCCTCCTGGTTCTTCTCGCCCTCTTTTCCTCTGCTGTCTCTCCAGCTGGCGCCCTTTCCCTCGTGCGGAGGTCGAACCTCTTCGGGATCCTTGCCTCCATCTCCTTCTCGGGCTGGCACGGCTCCTGGCGCGGCTCTGCAGGTGCTGGCTCTTCCAGGTCTGGGTGCTCCAGTGCATAAGCTTCTAGGTGTCTGTCAATCAGGGTCAAGGTTTCTCTCCTTACGACTGCCCTCTCTCTCCTCCTTTCTGCCCTCCCTTCTGGCGAAGGGGCCTTTTTTGATGAAGGCAATGGGGCCTCCTCTCTCTGCAACCTTTCCCCTGCCCGGCGAGTGCTCCTTGGTGCATCCTCGAGTCTCAAACCCACCGCTGGCGTTTGTGGGGCCGTGTCCTCCCCAACCTCTATCACTTCCTTCCCTACACGTCTCCCCTCATCGCCCAACCCTCTCTCTCGCTGAGTATCCTGAACCTCCTCCCGTGGCACCTCCTCTCGTGGCACCTCCTCTCGTGGTACCTCCTCCTGTGGTACCTCCTCTCGTGGTACCTCCTCTCGTGGTACCTCCTCTGCCTGCTCTCCATGCTCCTCACCCCGAGGCGATGCCCTCCACCGAGAGATATCCAAATGTGTCTCCAACTCCCTCAAGGGCCCCTCAGATGCTGGCGGCTCCTCCTGTGTGCGTGCTGGCGACCTCCTCAATCCACCCTCGGTAAACCGATGAAACTCCACTGGTCCCAACCCACACTCAGGGTATGCCCCTCGCTCCTCAGCCTCTGGCTCCGACTCCTCCTCTCTCCTAGCTAGGGCCTTTTAAATACTGTACAATCAAATCGAAAACACTAAGGTAAGAACTAGAATCAGCTATAACGCGAGGAAAAAAATCAAAAATTTCGAGGACATCATCTCTGAAGTTGACGGAAAGGAGGATCCAGTGATCGTTATCTTTGTGGACAGGAACAAAGATAATATCATATCGAATCAGATCCAGGTTTGTAGCCCACCTTTCTACCCCGCCGTATCCTTAAAGTTGTAGTTTAGTGAAGAAGAACGAGTTAAAGCTGTAGACTTGAAGACACGATGGTATGTCACTTATCGTAGATGCGGTCGACCCCAACAACGCCACGTAAAAATTGACCACCTCATCATTCAGTCTGTCGTCGACATGCAAGAGGGTGAGAAGATTTTTTGCCGCAATTCGCAACTGACCGCCGGTGAGGATAGAGAGAACAATGTGAGGCGGCACCAAGCCTCGTCCAATGTCGTCCAAAACCCGCAAGCTGGTAGGCGCAGTCGCTACAACGAATCTTTTCCCTCTTGTTCCACACGTTGTGGCCCGCACTGCACAACATCGAGCGAAGGACACGTGGGGTAGTGAGAAACAGAGTGTCTAAGCATTGTTCTTCATTGCACGATGCTTTGCTAAGTATTGTTCATACATGGCCTGACCCCTACTCACAGATCGCAGATATGTCGGACTCCTTTCTCTACGGGCAGAAGGGAAAGACACTCCTCAATGGCAATTGCATGCTCTTTCTTCCCGATCTCGACATCCACCCCTGATGCCTTTAAAATATTCTTGTGTTTTGTAGTCACCCGGGGGGCTTTCTGCAATATGTGTTCCGGATATTTCGAGGACCTCCGTGCTTGAGATGACCCTACCCCTGTACAACAAAAGAAAGACAAAACGGAAAATGAATACACGTTACCCAACACGAGTCCGACGAAAGAGAAAATGTGAAAGAACCACATAACCCACAAGGCACAGGACCTCTCCAATTACAGAAGTCCGAATTTGCATGGCCATGTGCACGGAGCTGTGTGTATGCCGCTGGAGAACAATAGGACAAGCGCAATCGAGCTTGAGACCCCGACCTTAACAAAGGAAAACAACAACAAGCCACAAATGCGAAATGGTAACATTCTCCGAAGTTCGGATTCCGGCGGACTTCTTCTTACGGCAGGCGCACAAAGACTAACCATCTCACTCATCGACATAGGAAGAGTGAATCACGGCGGACTTCTGTGCGTGAACAGAAAAATCGTCATTCAATTGAGTTGGCCATGTTCTTAACCGGGGAGCGCGTACGAAGCGGCGTTCATCGCTGCTTACCAACCGCTTTATCCCTTCGGTCCTTCGTTGGCGATGTTGGCGCGGGCAAGCCCAGCACGTCGAGAGCTTGAGTGCTGACCCGAGATCTTTTCGGGAACGTGACATGTTGCCGGCACCCGAGATCGCCCTCCCGGCCGCTGGCTAAGGTGACGGTCAGTATCGGAGAGGTGGGTGGTGAGAAAACGGTGGTAGAGGGCATGAAAGGTGTGACGTTTTGGCGGTCGTCCGGGACAGGGGCTGCAGACCGTTGCCCGGGCACCTGCTCGTCACCGAGTATCCCATCGATAACTTCAACGATGCTCAATTGTTGACTTCGTTAAGCCGGGCTCACAACTACGGAAACCTCATCGCAACGGTGTTGAAGATCGACTGCAGCCATCAGCGGTTGAACCTCATAATCTTCAGGGTCTGTTGACAGGTCATTGACCACCTGCGTCTCCATCTCCATTGTCGTCGCATCGTCGTCAGCATCAGGCCCCGGATGGCCTGCGTAAAGGTGCCCGATTGAGTCAGACGACTCCTCGTAGTCGGCATCCTCGTCATTGCCCAGCCGTTCGTCGCCTTCAATATCGAAATCCTATTTTTCACCCCCTTCCTCTCCTTCCTCCCTTTCTTCCCCTTCTTCCCCTTCTTCCCCTCCGTCCCTCCTATGCGATTCATGAAATTCTCCCAAAACCATGTCGAATCCCGCGGCCCGCTCTTCAGCCCCCACGTGCGTAGCCCCTCCCGTCGGCACGATAATCCTTGCCTGTGGAACCCTTTCTGAAGATGTCCGGATCCGGGCGAACTTCGGCTCATCATGGTTAACGGACTCTCCACTTACGCCCGGTGCCTCAGTCGATGTAGTCCGGATTCTGGCAGACTTCGACGCAGTTCCCTTACCGGACCTGGCAGTCGGTTGTCCAGCAACGTTCTCCCCCCCATCACTGCCACCGCCTTCCCTTGACGTGGCCTTATGG